GAGACAGAATTATCACATCTGTTCAAACCATCTTAAGCTTAATAGTGAAATGAAACCAACCTATATATATTTTTTGCCTTGAACTAGTTCACACATATGACCAGGAATAATTAACTGTTGGATGACTCAGAAAGGAGAAATTGAAGGATGTATCATGTCTGTATGAATCAGCACTCAGGAATGCCTTCCAATAGCTAAGCAGGTAGACTTTGGTTCACTGGCCCTGCTAAAAATATATAGGGATGAGAAGTGGGCAAAATGGGTTCTTCGCAAGAAACTCTCAACTCTCAGATTCAGGTTTGGGGGAATGATAATGAGGGCTCATTTGCTCATTCAACTACTACACTTTCATTAGTGGCCACAGGCTCTCATGGACATTCAGATGGCCAAAGTTGTACGCATTTATAGAGAGAAAAGGAACCGTGCAGAGGACAGTCAATCTGAATTCCCACAAAGCAGAGGAGCATAAAATGTGAAGTTGTGGTCTCCTTTCATATATGCATTTTCTATAGGTTCCTTCAAATTACTTTTTTATTCTTTTGCATGTGTCCTGTATAGAAGTAGAATCTTTCTCAAGTTGTCCACCCTGCTTGGGTGCAATCTTCTCAAAGTCAATTTGAGCAAAGGTACCAATAGAGATATTAGAGGAACATTTTGTGCAAAGATGGACATGAAAAAGGACAAAAATGGGAGGGACCTAACAGAAGCAGAAGACATCAAGAAGAGGTGGCAAGAATACACAGAGAATACACAATTTCCCTCCTGGGAAATTGAAGGGGAAGATATGGAGGCAGTGACAGATTTCACTTTCTTGGGCCCCATGATCACTGCAGATGGAGACAGCAGCCACAAAATTAAAAGACGCCTGCTTCTTGGGAGGAAAGCGATTACAAACCTTGACAGCATCATAAAAAGCAGAGAAATCACCTTGCTAACAAAAGTCAGAATATTCAAAGCTATGGTTTTTCATGTCGTGATGTATGGAAGCGAGAGCAGGACCATAAAGAAAGCAGACCGCCGAAGAATTGATGCCTTTGAATTGTGGTGCTGGAGGAGGCTCTTGAGAATCCCCTAGACTGCAAGGAGAACAAACATATCCATTTTGAAAGCAATCAACCCAGAGTGCTCATTGGAAGGACAGATCCTGAAGCTGAGGCTCCAATACTTTGGCCATCTCATGAGAAGAGAAGACTCCCTGGAAAAGACCTTGATGTTAGGAAAGTGTGAAGGCAAGAGGAGAAGGGGACGACAGAGGATGAGATGGCTGGACAGTGTCTGCGAAGCAACCAACATGAAATTGACAGAACTCCAGGACGCAGTGGAAGATAGGAGGGCCTGGCGTGCTCTGGTCCATGGGGTCACGAAGAGTCGGGCACGACTAAACGACTAGACGACGACCAATAGTCTGCCCAGATGCCAATACCTGTCCTCAAGGAGAAGGCAGAAGGTGAGGCAACCTTACTTAGTAGGGTCACTTGGCAAACTTGAGTCAAGATGCAGTCATTTCTAAGAGAGCAAGATCTTGAAACCCAGGGCAGAGAGTAAAAACTCAAAATTTAAATCTAACTGAGCTTTTTACGCAGTAACAACTGTTTTAAAATTTAGACTCTGTAGCAATTCTGAAGCTTTGGAATTCTTTTCCTAATGAAGTGCACCCATGTCCCCCACACACCTTCTCTCTCTC